TAATAAGACGGCGGTTTACATAGAACGACCACGTATAAATAAATAAACTACGATGATGATTTGAACTTAGGATGTCGTAAATAAATACGACAGTAGTGTTGTAGGTACCGTCGTAGTAAACTCCTAAATAAAAGTCGATAAATCAATACCTCGCGTCATGGTAGAAGTATTTAACACGACGTTTTTTTGTAATTTACCGACGTTGATTTTTATAATATACGTCGTTTTTTTTAATATACCGACGTGGAATTTATAAATAAACGGCGGTTTGTGTGTCAGGACCGCCGTGGGTTTTAAAAATTTATTGTATAAATTTGTCGCTTTCTTTCAGTTTCAGTTTTCATTTAGGTTTCCAAGTTCTTCCTCTCTCACAGACACTCTCTCTCACATCTCAAACACAATAATTTGGATGCCTTTCTCAAAGGGAAATAGAGCTTACTCTCCAACAAATCTATGTCCACAAGAGGAAGCTTGTCAAGCCTGATAGGAGACTTAGTGCTTCTGAATACTCCTTGCTTTCCACCAAAAGAGATGCAAGCCTGGCCTCCACTCGCTGTCGAAGGAAAGTTCGCTTCTCAGGGAAACCTGAAGATCAGATGTGCTCCTCTGCTCGATTTTCTTGGCTAAGAAGATCCATCAGATTTGTGATAGAAGAAGATGGGTTATCGGCATTAGTGAAGAAGATGTTCCTTTATCCGTAGAGCTTCTGAAGAAGAAGATGGGTTTTCAAGAATGCGATAAAGAATAGAAATGGCTTCAGATGGCCTCTAAAGCCTGAGCAATCGAATCAGATGGCTTCAGCTGTCAATGCTTTGAACTATCCAAGTCCTGCAGAAAGAGAACGGTTAAAGAAATTGAAACAACGACAGTTTTCTGTTCTACCGTCGTCTTTTTTAAACTAAGACGACGCAATATTTTTTTCGCGACGTGGATTCGTTTTTAAAACGTCGTTATGTGTAATATAACCGACGTGGATTTTATTTTTATAATTATAAATAGAATTTTTTTTCCCTTGTTCTTTCAGTTTATTTTTCAAAAACAGTGCCTTATAAATAGAGTTTTTTTTTCCGGAGGAAATTAATGTTCTAGAATTTGTAAAGTTTCTTTTTTGGGTGACTGATTTAAATCAAATACGAATATAAAAACAACGACTGTTTTTTTGTTATACCGTCGTCTTTTTTTAACTAGGACGACGCAATATTTTTTTTGCGACGTGGATTCGTTTTTAAAACGTCGTTATGTGTAATATAACCGACGTTGATTTTATTTTTATAATTATAAATAGAATTTTTTTTCCCTTGTTCTTTCAGTTTATTTTTCAAAAACAGTGCGTTATAATAGAGTTTTTTTTCCCGAGGAAATTAATGTACTAGGAGTTGTAAAGTTTTTTTTTTGGGTGACTGATTTGAATTAAATACGAATATAAAAACAATGACTGTTTTTTGTTATACCGTCGTCTTTTTTTGTCGTCTTAAGTAAGACTAACACGACGTAATGTATTTGTTCCCCGACGTGGATTTTTTTTGTTAAACGTCGATAGGTGTAATATAACCGACGTGGATTTGGTTTTTTAATTATAAATACACGGGTTCTTCCAGTTTTAGTATTCAATTAGGGTTTCAACTTCTTCTTGCCCCTTTCTCTGTCTCACCTCATCTTTTAGGAGGCAATTGTATCTGATTCACAAACATACACACATCACCAATTTTCAAAAAATTGTCTTTTTGATTGCAAATCTGTGGCTGCCGTGGTGAAGTTTTAAGAGGCAATTGTTTGGATGTTGATGTGTGTGTGCGTTTGCACACATCATCAACTTCCAAAAAATTGTCTCTCTGATTGCAAATCTGTGGCTGCCGTCGTCAAATTTCAGAAGCAATTTTTTGGATGTTAAGGTGTATGTGCGTTTATGTATCTCAAAGACACAAATACACATACATCATTAACCTCTAAAATATTGTCTTTCTGGTAAGATTATGATGAGGAACAGAGTTCCATCTTGTAAGATTTCCTAACCCTTGTGATCTCA